CTATTACAACACAATCCTAATCTTTTCAGTCACATGTGCTTTAAATTGACCAGATCATCAGATAAGGGTTAAAGTCATTTTATTTCAACCACTCACCTTCACATCCTTGTACAACAGAGTCAGTCATCCCATTCAAAGCATCATTGATCAAGTCCGGCACTTTTCCATTCAGATCCAGTGATGCCATACAACCTAAGAAACCATTTTTTGATTCGACCATCTCAGGCAGTATGTCATACATCTCTCTCTCCACTCCACCCACTCGCATATTTTCCGTCAGGTCTATATGCCTGGGACCACTAGACGACTGTGCTTTTGTTGTAGCATCATCTACTTTCAAGACGAGGCGATCCCTATTGTCTCGTGTAACGCTGACTTCATGCCAGGCATTGTTGTTAAGTCTGGTGACAGTGTTAGCAATCATAACACTGGTTTTATCACCTGTATTGTACACATAGTGTATATATCCATCAACTAATTCTACACCCATAAAGTCATTGCCATCGCCATCATTAAAGAGAATAAGTCCATCTGCTTCTACGGTTTTGAACTGAAAGAACAGATTAAGATCTGGGTACGTCTTCGGAGGAGACAGAACTACGTAAGCATCTCTGGTCTTAAATGTCACTGGCTCACTGATGATCTGTTTATCCATATCATCAAAGTCGGCTGTATACTCAATATTTCCAACACCTTCATTAGCCATCTCAAAGAAGTGTTGATTGTTGAGAACGAACTGCTCCATGTGGCCGAGGAAGTTAGAAGGTGTAACAAGCATGTTAGCCTTTGCAGAATCTGAAAGTGCTCCAATCTCAATGGAATAGAACTCCAAGACGTCATTAGTGCCATCCGTGTTGCCTGTAGATTCGGGAAAAGTATTAGATACTGAGCAACTGAACTTTGTGCAATAGAAAAACTAAAGTGAACCTTCTAAAAGCATTTACTCATGGTGAAAAGAAACAGAATGGTGGATTTCTTTCATAGATGAAAACTAGGATTTTCACCCATTATAGAAAGAAAAATCCCAATTGTCATTGATGCAATGAAACCACTGAACAAAGGATGGGATCCATTGTTTTATTTCGTGCTTTAGCCAATCTATTAATTTTTTTTTTTACATATCATGATATAGCATAATTTATGAGGATAGTTGAATGAAATTACCATGTGCAAACAGAATGAGAGGAAGGAGATCTCTAAAGATCATGATACGTAGGACTAACGGTGACTTAGAAATGTGTGAAATATTCACTAAAATAAGTAAATTAAATTCCCATCTACAATGCCTCTATTAAGCAACCACACCCTGCACTTAATATACCCCTTATCCTGCCAGCCCCATGTACTTCTACATTGAATTGACTTGATAAGAGATACAGTTGGTTATACAAACTTGACTGTAGAGGAGGCTATACCATCACTATGGCTTTAAGATCTCATCGTGGGAAAACCCATGGCCAGACATACAGTACATAGAGAACTAAAAGCCAAACCAAAGCCTTGGGTTTTCCTGAACGAGTTTAGAAAATTAAGCCCCTCTCTCCAATTGTTGATTTTGTTTAAGCAGTGTTACAAGAATACAAAGTGATGCAGTTTAATAATATGCAAAAGACGACAAAATGCAAGTTGTTAGAAAGACATCACTTCACCCTAGCATAGTAATTAATTGTGTCCAGCCTGCGGCATGCTAGACTTGTTTATAAAATCTGCTATAAACAAGCAACAATCAACATCCTGAACTTTTCTTCAGGTGAAAAGGTATCAGATACTAAAAAACAACTGGAGAATGTGATGTATATAACATGTGAAAAACAGGTATTAACTATCCCCAAGATGCGTTAGAATAGCGTTGCAGCAAAAAAAGCGTAGCAGGCACAGTAAAATGGGCTGCAGAATCAGCAATTAACAAATTCGACAAACCTACCTCCGGGAGGTGTACTAGAACCTAGTCATGAACCGTTGAAATATTGAAAAGATGAGAAACAGATATATGGACAGAAGAGAGTATGAAAGATATGTGGTGAAAGACAGAGAGAATGGGAGAAAAAAAAAACACAAAGAAAACACAAGAGTTAGACATATAACAACATGCATCTGTGCCTATACATGGATTTCAAATACGCTTATCAATTGCAAAAAAATCGTGGCTGATTTTTTTTTTAAACATATGATTTTGTCATCTGGTAATTTAATCTAGATGTGGTGGCGACATTACATGAATATGTCATCAAGCATTTGAGTGTACTAAAATTGATAAAATGCATGAATTAGTACTACCTAGTAACTACTCAAATTCAGGATATCTGAAAAACACACTATAATGATAATAGTAAAGGCCACAAAAGGTCAAAATATATTTCAGCCACTGTAAGATTTCAGAAAAAAATGATATAACTACACACATACAAAGCAAAATCACTAATGGAAAGATTAAACAAAAAAAAAAAATTATTAGGGAGGGAGAACAAATTTCACAATGGAAATAGCAATGCAACTTGATATAACAATAAAACAAATAATGTCAAGGAACGAAAATGAGAAAGTAGAACAAATTATTGACGATAAATTAATGTTTTTACCTTCAATGACTTCCTCTTCATCTATCCACATTTTAACATGCTGTAACGTTCTTTCTATTTTAACAGTATGCCATTGCATGTCATTTAGACCAATACCCGAAAATAATTCTATGGAACCAGCACCCAGATTTAAGGTCAGCTTGACTCTTCCAGAATCCAACTCTAACATCAAAGTATCAATTCCATTTGTCGCCACGGTGGACATCAGTATTCCATATGCTCGTTTTGTCTTGAATCGCAAGCGGACATCTTCACGATCAGATAACTCCTCATTTTCGAACCCCACACGTAGATACTGTGTGCCATCAAAACTTAACGTAACAGCATCTGAAAGCGAGAAGAACACAGAGCACAGGCACTGAGTGAGTGATCGGATGAGGCAACTGTTGAAATATGTCCTGAAAGAACAATATCGTTAGCAAATACATTAACACAACATACCATACAGAATGACAGCTTAAAGCGACAGTATTAGAAATGAACAAGTTATCGATGATAAAATGCAGACGCTTCAATATACAGCACTAAATAGACTAGAAAACACTAATTAATTTAATTTAATGAATCTAATTTAATGTACTGACACAAACATGCATGGACGAGATATATGGGTCTCATATAAACAAAGATGGCAACTTTGACTGTTGTGCAGATCAATGAGTACAAACTAAGTTACCAAGTTTTAATTTTTTTTTAGATTATTTGAAGGTATTGAAGAATTCACCAGCGCCCAGGTCAAATCTCATACTTGTGATTTCCATTAGAAGAGCACATTGGATTGTGGGAAAATCAAAGTTTATCAACACATATGTCGCACATGCGCAGCACAACGACTGCCGTTCTTTAAGTATGACAGAAACCTCTGCATTCTTATACCAATATGTATAACATTTATAGGCCTTTGGTGTAGACAAGCAGGAAGAGTTTGAATACATACAAGGTGGATAGCAGTGCAGATATAATATATAAATCTTAATTCTATAACTACAGATTTGATGATAATACAGACATTTTCATAAGCTTTACATACCATTGCTTTATACAAACAATAGTTACAGCGCCATCTAGTGACATAAAAGGAAACATTCAACAATGGCTACTAGAGGGCACTATTACAACATTCATGCACACAGTGTATTTGATGATGAATCCCTTGCCACAAAATAGATATATTGCGTTCTTGAAAAAAATATTAAATATGTGAAATATATGGATTTGTACTGTAAAAAATATTCAGTTGTAGCAGGTTAAAAATAAAGGTTATATTTCCCACTGAATTAATTGAATGCTGCTGACAGACACCTATTGTACACCTTTTGTGCAAATTGCTTGCATGCACTCCCTCAGTTTGTTCTTACTTCATTTCTCACATGGCAAAGAAAAAATAAAACTTTGGTGCACATTTCATTTATGCTTACAGTGGTACTTGGTCTCAGTAGGGCATGACTGGAATGTTAACTGTCACCACTTTGCATTAAATGCAACTGTTGCAAAGAATGTCAAGTAGTAAAACAAAATTAAACAAATGCAATTTTTTGTGTGCTTAAAATGGAAATGCACATCCGATAGAGCAAATTGGACATTTTTATTCTTATTCTTAGCCATTTTGATAATTTTTGTTTGCTGGCAAATTTGAAACCCTTCATAATTGTTTTTAACTATCAATGAACATATCAAAAACTACATCTCTATTTACAGTTGCAACTTGTTTTAAGAGAAGCACATTCTTTGGTGTCCAGCTTGCCAGTTGGGTATAGATGAGAACTTAATGGCCGGTTTCAAACATCAACAAACGAGTCATCACTGAAGTATGTCTATATCAAAGGCCACATAGGCAATCAGGCCCACTTGCAGACACGCAGCTAGAGAGGTTGTTTTCAATTTGTGAATGCAATTTACAGCAATACCAGGCATGGCATTCTGAACAGACAACTTGGCAGGAGCTGATGATACCAACGCGTGTCTGTCTAGGCAGAAACTAATTGCAGCAGATGAACACACACAGCTTGTCTGGAGAACAAGAAATTAGTTTAAACAGAGTGGTCTAACGTGAAACTAGCCAACTGAGAATTACATCCTATGAAGTGCCATTGAATAATTGACACAACAAGCTCATGAGGCATATTTTTTCCCCTCAGAGTAGCATCATTTATACAGAGATAAGAATACCAGGAAACAAAGTCATTTTATCATTAGAATTTAAAGAATTAGAGTTAATGAAAAGCTTGAAAGATTGTACCTGATTGGCTATCCAACCCTAACACCTGATGGTTAAACCAATCACAGAGCAGCTTATTTGTTGATAGTTATTTTTAACATATCAAATCCAGCCATGCTTCACCTTTGATTATGTGTTCCCCCTTCACACGACTCATGCTGCTACGCAAAGAAACTAAACAGATATTTAACGTCTACAGCTAGTTTAAACCAGTAAATCCAGTGTTAAATCTGCAAACCTCATCTACACTGTGAAATGCAGAATAAGAATAACTGTCTAAGAATATCAATTATTCTTAGAAATGTAACTGCCCTTGTCCTCAAATGGTAAGCAATCTCAACAATATACACCAGCCACCAGCTGTGTTGCCACATAACTCGGCCTAGTTCAGTACAATGAATAAAACCACATGTACAGTATATATCATCCACATTGCTAATTAAATGTATATACTGCAAGTAATGACCGTGTACCCACAGCAGGTAGTGTCAGTGTAGTCAATCGACATGATGCCAATTAATATAATAATAAGTTGAGCCAGTATATACAAGATAGCCTAATGCCAGATTTATTTTATGAAACCAACTATTAAATATTGGTCTGCTATCTGAGATGTACAAAATGATCCACAGTATTAAAGTTAATATTACTCACAGAAAATAAATAGATGTCAGTCTGATTTATTCCACCTGTTACACAGGTTCAAATCTGTTTTTTTTTTTGAAATATCAGAAACTGGCTAATAAAAATTAGGTTCTTGCTAATCAATGTGCATGGTTTTCGACATGAAACTAATCACATTCTTGGATTATCGCAGAGCATCTATGTACCAAATTTCAGTGAAATGCGATAATTAGTATTTAAGATTCTATGAAATACTTTATTTTAGCTTGAATTAATTTTCACTGAGAAAACTTTATGAGTGTTTTGTATGGAATTTATTTTCACTGATTTTTAATGAGTTGAATGTGAGACATAGGAAAATTAGCAGCCTTTCGGCTGAGATAGCTCTGCTGTTATTAATGCACATTTCAATTAAAGAACTGAAGATATCATCAGAAAATGAACAATATGTATAGTATTAAAGCAATCAGACTTGCTGTTTTCAACAAAAATTTGAAAATATAACTTTTTGATCAAAAATATTCATTAAAATTGATAATTGAAGAACAAAATCATCATGAACAAATCTGAGAGAGGTCCACATGTAGTACCTATGTGGTATATATATTATCAAAGCAATTAGACTTGCAGTTTTTAACAAGAAGTCGAAAATATCACTTTTTACCAAAAACAACAAAAATATTCATGAAAATTAGAGAATTGAAGATATCATCACGAAATGAACAAACATGAGAGAGGACCACATGTAGTACCTAGATATCTAATATCAAAGCAATTGAACCTGCGGTTTTTAACAAGAAGTTGAAAATATCACTTTTTACCAAAAATGACAAAAAATATTCATGAAAATTAGAGAATTAAAGATATCATCACAAAATGAACAAATCTGAAAGGGGTCCACCCAAGGTACCTACATACCAAGTATCAAAGCATTTATGCTAGCGGTTTTCAAGAAGAAGTTGAAAATAGCATTTTTGACCGAAAATGATAAAAATATTCGCTATAAATAAGACAATTGAACATGTCCACACGAAATGAACAAATCTGAGAGAGAACCACCCAAGGTACCTTCCTAGAAAGTTTCACAGCTATACAGTTTGTGGTTTTTAAGAAGAAGTTGAAAATGTAAAGTTGACGACAGCGACAAACAATCAGTAATATTATAAGCTCCGCTTGACTTCGTCGACAGCAGAGCTAAAAAGTATATTTGCTGAATTTTATTTTCACTGAAGCATCCATTCAGCGAAAATATTGAAAATAAATTCCAAGCGGAAATAAAGTATTCTACAGTATCTGCGGAAAAGTTGAAAATTTACTAATTATTATGCAAATTAGGTAATTAACATGCCCAGATTTTATCCAAAACTAATCAGGTCTGTATATTGTTGTTGAAGAATCAATGTACCCGGTTTCATTAAAATATGACCAGCAGTTCTTCAGATATCCATGGAACAGACAGACATATAGCCATACTCAGACAGTGTAACTGCAAAGTCTCCGATTGTGTGCATCACACACTGCAGTCCAAAAAAAAGTTATTTAACAGTATACACACGCAACGTTTTTTTTAATATGTGTTGAGACTGTATCAAATCTCCCTCTACGCACACATATTTTATTTCCTCATAATTATAGAGATTGTAACTCAAGACACTCTGTCAAATTGATATCAAAGTCAGAAATTCCAGTCAGTAGCAGAATCATGGCAATTTACCAAATCTAGGTGATCATTACACTGATTATTAAAGTGTGCATTAACACAGCTGTGTTATCAACATACAGTTTTGACAAGTGTTAATGGGCACACCTAGAAATTCACAAGTATGCATGTTTGTCTTAATTCACCAGTTTATTTTTTTTTGAAAATCATAGTGTAAATTATTGTTGAAATTTTTATTAATCTGCGAGTTCATCAAAATCAGTCTTTTACCACTCCATCCCCTTTGTTACTAGGTACACTATAAAGATATTATCCAAATACAATAATAGTAAATCAATAACTTACATTGACATTAGCGTCTTTCCACTTGAAAATAATTAACTTTTAATTGACATTCTTTAAAAACACAATTTTATTGAATGTTGTCACTGATAATAGAACGATAGAACGATAATAGAATAGTTGATGTGTGTTGAGATTTACAACCAAACAACTCTAAAAACCTATCTATAATTCATTTGAGGAATTTCAGTAAAGCTAAGTTTGTAAAAAATTTATGAGGCGAGTGTTATCAATGTTAGATCATTTAATGAAATAATGATAGGGAATCAGGGAGGTAGATTAGGCAGTGTATCATTCATGGAACTCCTAACATATTGACTTATTATGGGCACACAGTTAATTAGTTGAGCCAAACAATATTCCATACGTATAGCATGTTACGAGTGAATCAAAAAGTTACAAAAAGCACTATTTAATTGTAATTAAAAACAGCCTTGGATTTTTTTTGTGAAATTTATAATAATATTTTTATAGCCTTATATGACCTCATCAAATGACAAAACTGAGGCAATATGTTCATTAGCATGATTAATCAGCTGACATCATAAGGAATAATATAGATTTTATCCAAGTTTTCAGGTATCGTTGAAATAAATCCCAACTCTTGGTTAAATTTCAGCTCAATGTTAGTAATCTTGGTGCTTTTTATTGCAATTCAACCATTAACAATGCAAAACATAGAAGTCAAACACAGTGGCCCAAGGTTAATCAACACACAATCGACTTTTAACGAAATTCTCCTTTTCAATTCCAAGTTCATGACTTACAATACTGATTACTTTTCCTTACAATTATCGCCAGGTTTATCAGAGTGTAATTAGATGTTTATCATCAAGTGTTATTGATTAATTTCACATTATCTGACCATTTGTCTGGTAATGTCAACCACCCAACACAATAATAGAATTATATCACTGTATTGAAACTGACACGCCAGTGAAAGAAGTACTTCCATTGACATATATACACTATGGCATGTCGGATGATTGTCAGTGTATATATTCCAGGCTACTTGAAACATAAATTAGTATCGTATTTCAAATCTAACAAAATGAAAGAATGTTTTATTGACATTCTGAAGAAAAATCATTTCATTTTATCACCGTGAATGACGACCATGCAGAGACAAGAATCTTGCCTAGTTAAGTTATTTTATATCTCAAATGTTGTAGAGGTTTAAATAATGCAGCTGAAGGACGGAGCTGATTTATATGCAAATTATATGCAAATTATATGCAATAGTGAAGGCCGTTAGCATTGTATGTAAATTAAACCCAGCAATTAGTTCAGCTGCCATATTTCATCCATTTTCACATGGTATTGACATGTACACAGTGAACTCCACCATTTATACAGCTACAGCTTCAGTCAGTTTGGAATGCAGATTCCACGCTTAAAATGTTCCAGGATTAGCAAAAAACATAGTTAAACCATTAAAGCCTTGCCCTTTACATTTATCCAATTACTAGATGACTTGAACACTGAATGAATTTAAAAATAATAATCTCCTTAGTTCAAAAATGTAACAGAAAAAATGCTTTTAAAAGTATGTTCCTCATTATCCATACAATCAATTTTTTAACTAAACCCTATTTAAATAGATGTCAGAGGAGGAATGCAGACAGAAAATTAAATTGCAGATTATAGAATACACAGATCTTAAAGATGTGACTACTTTAATAAATGAAATGAAACTAGATGTGCAATGTGTACTATTTTTACCACATATTCAGATACACTGGAAAATATAGACATGCAGGGGTAAATTACTTAGGGCAGCAGCTGACTTGCTTCCGGTTTATAGAAAATCTTGTTCAGGTTAACAAAAATTGCCAATGTGCATATTATTTTGCATTTCGGGAAGAATTTTAATAATTGTATCTCTTGTACAGAGTATTTTTCATAAGTATGAGTAAACTAATTTTTTTTTAGAACAAAATGTGTGATTTGGCCAATGTTCACAAATTATTGACCCTGAAAATCACTATGCTTTGACAATAACACTAGTAATAAAGTGTTGAGACAGAAAACAGACAATCGTTGTTTTCCAAACTACATGCATTTCAAAAACAGTGCACAGATTGTACATTTACGACCCATATGTCGACAATGCACATGATGACTTTTAAGCTATTTATAAATTACAGCTACCAAAGCTTGTACAGAAAATATTCTGCTTTCCTTTGTTATTTGCCCCAATTTCCTATCCTTTTCTAGGGTTTTTGCAATGTCTCACTTGTGAACAGTGAAGAAAGGCAGAGAACAGCACGATTATTTAACAGTCCACTTATGATAACATTCTCTTTGTATTTCACAACAGGTAGTACGCTGGATGCACCATGGGAGTTCATTCACCACATTCTGTGCATCATTGGAAAGTTACGAGAGTAGGAAAATCTAGAAACGGCAACAATGTCTCTTTCTATTAAATTTTCAGGGACAGCAGCGTTGACTTTCCCTGTATTGTGTACAAAAGTAATACCGGTAACTGTCGTCTCGAGAAAATAATTTTTTTTTCTCCAATACCAATAAAGCATGTGTTATTGCTCACGCTTTGTTTCAATTTTACTTTTAATGCAATAGTTCTAATAATAATTATATATACTCCATCGATGCAAGTTGCTTGTGAGTGGTGTGTAAAGAAGTGTAGGAACGTGAATAAATTGGTTCTAAGTGACTAGAAAAAGGGCATAGAAAGCGAACATCATGCACAAAAATGCAGACACATAACTGGAAAACTACAGGGTGAGAACAGGGCAGCCATCTTGTTCGATGTGAAACAGCCCGCCGAATTATTTGATGTGAATCGGGCAGGCAACTTGTTCGTTGTCTACAGATCAGCCAAATTATTTTGTATAAAGTATTCAGAGAATGTGACGTACATGTACATGTTTAGTTTGTGGATTGTAAGGAACTACTACTTACTAGGGTTGATTGCTGCACCTTCAATTGGAAATAGAGAATATTTAATTTGATTTTCCCCCACTGGGGATTTTTGTGCCACGCATGCTCATTAAAAAAAGGTGCTACCATAAATGACTACCGTAATGTCAACGTCAACTGTCTCAATTTTATTCTGCCAAATTGTGACAAAAAATAACAAAATATTTGAGTAGTGTATTAGTAAATACTTATATTTTTTGGTGATTAGTAATGTGACAAAATTCCTGACAGAATCTTAACTATCAGTAGGTTGACGTTGGCATGGAAACAGTTATGTCTGTCTATATGTGCAGTGAATGTAATAATAGGATCTAGACTAAGAATACTTCTACATACATATATACCTATCTCTAGCCAACAGTCTAATTCTAAAGCAGTTAATAAAAAAAACCTAACCCATGCAAAGATTGAGGTGAAAATAAAGTGACTTATTCAAATTACCAGACTGTGTGAATATACGGCAAAGATGTGTTTTCAATTAAACGTGCTCATTTCAAAGAAACTGACAATCAATTTACTTCGTGAGGGAAAAAAATTCAAAGAAATACAAGATGTAATTTTTCTAATCTTGTTACATGAAGCAGAGCGAGGAGATTTATGACAACGAGGGAAAAAAATAATATGATCAAATGGGCTTCTTCAAAGTCGTTCAATATAATTAACAAAATAACACGAGTATGTCATTGAGTCAACAGTATGATGTAAAATAAATCCACGGTAATTTCCCCAAGTTATAGAGTACTGACTGATAAGTGATAATGACTGGTACGATACAACACTGATACAACACAATTAATCCTATTGTTCTACATATAATACAATACTCATTCTATAGACAATATCACAAGGGTTGCTTAGTAACAAGTTTATAGCCGAGGAGATGATGAAACTTGCATTCATAGTACAACATTCACATAAAACAAACTGCAACATTTTTTAGAATTTTTTTTTGTATATAGCTTATATGACAAAAATAATTTCATGTTAGATTTGGATCTTGCCATCACCTTACCTGGGTCTCCCTTGACGGCTTATTTTATCAAAGAAATTGTAATGTGTGAGAATTGCACAAATGCAGACAGCATGGAGTAAAGTAGTAACAGACAAACAGATATATCCCAAAACAAAAATGGCAGCGGATGGAGAGAGAAGAGAAAGAAAGATACAGAGATAGAATTGTGTTTTGGGATTAATGGAGACATACACGTTGGAAACACAGAAAATTGCAATTGTAGCATGGGTGTTTTTCTCCCACGGATCTATGCCGATAACAGTTATCGGTTAAATATAGATAAGAATGAAAAACAAATCAAATTGGCAAATATCAAATGCTTAGTACATACATTCAACCAAGTTTTCTTGTACGAATTAATATGTATTAGATTATAGGCTTGGGCTAGAGTTAGCTAAACACAAATTAACACAAATGAAGAATGGCCATAACATACAAAATATCTTGGCCGGAAATAGATCAATGAAGGTACCTTTGCGTTTGGTGTTACATGGATGTACCCAAAATACAAACATATTGCAATAGTTTTTAATTTGTTTTCACCTTCTTAGAAGATTTACTCGCAATTCATGATTTTATATTTATGTAGTAGTAAATCATTGCAATCCAGCAAACAAATTGATGGCATTGGTATCTGTGTTTTCAACTTGTATGTTGCAACAAGTAATAATACCACAGCGTGTTACATCTCATGAGTAGGGATGATTACAATATTGTTAATATGAGAGGTTGGAGGGTGGGGGGCAGGACTATATTTGTTAATACTAATGAGGAACAAAACATTCTTAATTTTATAGCGAATAGAGAGCAGCAAATGCAATACAAATATTTAAAATGCAGAAAATTGTCTGGCACATCCACGCATCCTTGTCAACTGTCAACACTCGATGAAAGTAACAATATATACATCTATTGATTATTCACAGTAGTACACAGTAATAGACGAAATTTTACACAGAAATTGACAAAGATTTACACCCTACCTTCGCTGCAAGTGGTACCAACAAAACCTGTTGCGGAACAGTCGCAGATAAAGCGATTCCATCCCTCACTACAGACACCCATGTTCAGACAAGGATCACTATTGCACTTAGCAGGTTGTGCACTGCAGTAAACTCCTACATCCAGTGCTGCTGTGGTACGAGCAATTTCCGCAAGATCCACAGGGACTCCATTCATTACTAAATCACGCATGCAGCCCACAAATCCAAATCCTAGCATACCAGACCATATTTCACGTGGAAGCAACATAGAATTGGACCCAGAATCAATACCACCAATAAATAAACTGCCTTCTAAATCCAGCTGCTTATTCTGTCCACCGAGAACAAATGGCATGGTGTCTTCATCAACCTAGTATACAAACAACATGTCAGGAGATACTTCTGAACAATATCATTACTAACAAGAAAATCTTGTACATCGTAATTATCTTGACACTAAATGTAGTGTATAAAATAATGACTGGGTAGTGTTGCTTCCATGAGCTTGTACACATACACAACATTTTCATGAATATTAATCTCTCTGATTTTAGTAGAAATCATAGAAAAATGAATATATTTATTATTGTGGAACATCTCTTTGCATCATGTTCAAATACTGCAGGCACATGAATTATTGTTAGATACAGCAGTTTTATGTGATTTACCTCTACTGTGCCTCGCTTCTTGTTCTTATTAACTTTCACAAAATGCCATTCCCCATCATCCATTCTGTTGGGATGGCATTTGACGTTGATTGCACCTGATCCTAAATCCAACACCATTGTCAGGTATCCATCACGCAATTCCATGGCAAAGAAATCAGACATGGCTTGGGCTCCATTATTGTACATCAAGACGCCATTGGGTTCATTTGTACGAAATCGGTACGATAAAGAACCAGAAATCTGTAATTTGACACAAAACCAATAATAACATAATTATATTGTTCTATTTCAACATATCTGATGGTGAAGTATCAAGCCAGTCAACATTATAATATTTAAATTTTATTCTGCAACAACTTTTCTGTTTTAGCATTTATTTGGCTTGACAAACAACCAAATTTTGTTGCATACCTTCGCTTCCCACTTGTTAACTTCCAAATATGCCTTCTCTGTGGTGAACGTGATTGGCTCCAGTTGATCTGGGTCCTTACAGGTGAATGGAATGTTTCCAACAAGTGAAATATATGGATCGCTCCTCTTGGCCAATGATGAAAGTTCCAGTGTTAGTGTACTGCTCGAGTAGGAAATCTTAAAAGTAAAATATGTGGGCACATTTAATTCTAAGAATCAGGCATCTGACATTTTAACCTGATGAGTTCATGAATGACAATCAGTATAGTAGCCAATTAGGGAAACAGCATCAATCAAATGAAATGATTGATGCACTTATTCAGACATTCTAAATAGCAGGGAAATCAGCAGATGTTTGTGCAATGGCTGTCGTAACAAGCCAATTTCTAGTTAAATATCCTCCAGGTCAGAAAATTCAGGGCAGTAATTACATAACTGTACTAATCTATATAATCAGTTCATGTGTTTGGTGCAATACTCCCAAACAATTGCAGATATATCCCACTTCAGACTTACAGCCTTCAAACAAGGGAGACATTTGATTCCATGAGGAAGATACATTTCAGAATAGTAGTTACAAAAAATGTACTCTTTGAACCGACACTACCCCATGTGAAGACAGATTGATACAATTTGAAAACCATGGCTTCCTCATCTTTGACCAAGCCAGCAGGATGGAGTGAACTCTTGATAAGCTTGCTACTAATACAGAAAAACCAATTCAAGTGATTGATTCATATACCATTGTTATTGCTGCTAGCACACGCATACCCTAAAAAACAGTCATTGTCTATACCCTGTCAAAGAATAAACATTGAATTATGTACAAGATAGTATCGGTAAGATATGTACATAAATACATATTGACTGAATATAAATTCAATTTTTATACAGACCTAAGTACGAAACATGTTTACTTAAAGGGCGACTCATAACGACGTATACAACGCGTGTAAAATTCATTGTTTATTTACACGAAATTCAAATACGCGCTGTGCGACGACCACCGCGCTTTAATAGCAACAAGTTTTTTTTTTAAATTTAATTCCATGGTAATGTACAAGCTTAGAAGAATACATAAATACATGTACCTGTCTCATCCCCCTCTCCGTAGAAATCATTTATATGTTAACCAGGAGTTAGATTCTCCAGGACTGCATATTTCTTTATTTTTATTCACAAAACGGGTTACAAAAGGACGTGCATGTCAGAAAGGTGCCAATCACTCAAAACAAATCTGCCAGTTTGCCAGATCACACATCAGCATGAGAGTATCTATCGTACCAATAATTTGATTAACCGAGCATTTTACGTTTTTGTATATTGCCACTGAAAAATTAGTTATCGATCGATGACAGCACAGCAATGGTGTTTATCCATTGCATCGCAATGCTATCAGCACGGTGATTGTTACAGTGAAACGAAAAATGTATAATTAGTCAGTTTTATAATGCCTTGGGAGAAAAAAAAATTTAACAGTACAGTACACCACTGGAAGCTGCCAGGCTAGAAGTTGTCGACATGTTGCGAGATAAGGGTGAAAAAGTTTACTTATCATTTGCAACTGTATGTTTTCTGTATTTCGCTTGCATGCTGGAAGCGTCTACGGTTTTTTGTAGTTTGCGAGACTAGTTGATAGCACTTGAAGTAAGTTAAACAGGGTCGCGGACAGGAAGTTACACATCGCCGCACCATAACTGAGGCCAGAAACTCATTTGCATCAACAGTGACTTGTCAATCAAAGAGCAACGTAAACAAACTGAGTGCCCAAGAACCTGCATCTACACCTTAAGACAACATTCTCCAAGCCTTAAAACCACACGTTTAGTAAATTGCGCAGAACATACTCTGTTGGGAGATCAGTCAGCTGATATCCCTTTTACACAATTTTAGTTTTTGCATGTATCCGTCCATTTCTGTCTTGCATATAGCATAAACAAGGATCTTTTGAGAAACGATATTTGAGTCATGTTCAAAACATAATAAAAAAAAATCAAGCTAAACTTGCCTTCAGGATGCACATTTTGCACAACAGACTCTGATCAATAATTTACATTTATTCAATGCCTTCAGTAACAATGATGTTCATTAAAAAAAAACGAGAATGTCAATCCAGCGGCCATGCAAAAATACGTTTTTGCTTCAGGTCACTAGTATCAAATGATGCAGAAAATTTCTTTTTGACTTGACATAATATGTCCATGTCCATTTCTATCTCATTTAAATTCCATCTGTTTTTTTTCATTTCAACATGTTTTTAACATAAAAAATAAATTTGAATTTCTTATAGGCAGCAATGACATGTTAATACCGCTTGCAATACTGCAACTCAGACAGCAACACACACTTTAATTGTCATATTTTTGTTTTTTAACTGCATTATGTGTATTTTTATTTTTTTTAATTGTAAACATTTTCATTTCTTCCAAGGGTTGTTATGTGTTGATAAAATAACCTACCCAATTTTAATTTCCATATCTCCAAAACCATTCAATCTCAAGGTTTTATTCAACACACAATCTTATAACCTCATACATAACCATCTATCAAATCAATTTGCTTCCATCATATCCATCTATTCATGTAGCTAAAGGGTACTTGCTGTAAACCTTCAATTATCATAATTTTTAGATTTACTATCATTCTGGCAAGTCACACTTTTCTAATACTAGTAGTTGTTTGATGGCAATGTCTTTAAGAAAAATAATTTTCAATGATATACAAAATTCACAAAATTTGTCCCTTGGGAAATAAAAAAGGAATTTACAGTAGTTTCGTACAGTATAACAGAAGTCGTCAATAGAGAGTTACAAGCGAATGCCGAATCCCTCTAGTAATGCATGACTGCGCATGTCTGTATCCAATGATCAGTTCACAGTATGTATGAACGAAAGCTAGGGTAAGATCAATCACAAAGCAATCATGAGAACACTTTCGTCTGCAATGACTGAATTTCAAGTAATTAAACCCATACCTAAGTAACTAGATTTCCGTGTAAATCTTCTGGGACTATACCTCTCCCATATGGTGCAGAGTCTCATATTGCAATTACTCAAAAACCTGTTCTAATATTTCAATTTCACTTCGGGGTACATTTGGGGAGCTGGTTCGATGTGTATGTGCTACACACCTATTGTGCTCATGTTTGGCCATTTCAAAGCGGTGGAACATTATCAAATTGTATCAGGAGACAAAACAACAAGACTGAGCATGTTCTACCGCGTTTAAGGCACGATGCTACTACACTGATCATACGTTTCAATTGGGTTGTTTCGAGAGACTGGTGATTCATCATTGCTGATTAATGAACTGATAAATTCAGTCAATGTTACAACAACACACCAGACATGCTAACATCATAAACTCATCATATTTCAATCTTGAGGAGAGACGCGTGTTTAATACGGAAAGAAGGGAATTTAAATTTTTCTACAGAAAAATCACAATGGCTGAATTCGAATCTCTGAACTGGTAAATCACCATGCAATGTTGGTGGTCAATATAGTACAGATTTTTTTTAGAAATAAAATTAAAACTAATAATAAATGGGTTGTAAAGCAGTTCATGTCAACACTTGACTCCACAATCTTGTTTTAACAAACAAGTCAACAGTATGCACTCCAACATCATGACATGGTACCATTAGAAATTACTAAGTTGCTAGCTACAGTCAAGATGCATGAAGACTTGGATGGTATATAATCTAAATTAGTAACACTTTTATTATTCTATATGACCATAATCGTTTCTTGATGTTATTAGATACGTGCACACTCTGCATCAACTTTATTCCTTCCTGTTAATGCTAATTTTGATTCTAATTTGAGTCTTTTTTGGACGTTTATATCTTGTGGCAGCAGTAACAGGAAGTACCACCATCTTTATTGCTGGTACGTGTGATAAATTCCTGCAGGTATGCCAGATATTTATTGCTAGTTCCGCCCACACAGACTGTCTGGCACAATGTAGAAGTGACATGTCTCTTCCAAAGAGGGAATTACCATCTAGATAAATCAAGCATGCAGTTGAATTTATTTAAAGACTGTCATACTGACAGACAACCTTAAAGAACTTTGTACACAGGTAGTGACTAGGACATGTGAAATTGTACTTCACCACTACTAGAACCAGAGCATTGCCCAAGGTGTTAGAAACTCTTCACGGCACCTGAAACACTGAGCCAATAAGAACTAATGTTTACACGTCTAAGTCTGGGCTGTATAAACAGAAATTTGTGAACCTTGCCACAACGAATGTATAAGCCCCACTTGATTTACAGTGTTATTGGTATGTAACAATTGGGCGGAGGTTGACTATTTAAAACTACAAATACAGAGTTCTCTCCATGGGGTTACAAAAGTGTATTTTTTAATAAGTCCAATCTGAGGGTACTGTATGGTAAAGACAAAACATAAAATACATTGCAGACAGAAACAAATAATACATAATTTGAAATTATTTATTACAAAAATGATACCCTTGTTATCAAAATTTTGTATACTGTAAAATACTTTATTTTCACTTGAAATTTTCGCTATTTTCGCTGAAGGAATGATTCAGTGAAAATAAAATCCAGCGAATATACTTTTTTTTCGTATATTTTACATTCAACTCATCAAAAAAAAAATCAGTGAAAATAAATTCCATACAAAACACCCAAAAAGTCTTTTCAGCGAAAATTCATTCCAGCTAAAATAAAGTATTTCAAAGTATTGTATTTTTTAAATATTTGGCCAATGCAACACTACAATTGTATATTGTTTTAAAGTTATTCAGTCTTTCCTCTTTCTGGTTTGTTTTGATATCACAGGCTCAGTACTGTATTATCATAGATACAAGTCTGTCTATTGACCAGCTACTTATTCTGTAATTACAAATATGCTTATACAACAACTAAAACTACTGACCAATATTTCCATATTGCATGACACACAAATCACAGTGCATGAAGAGTTATAGGCAAAAAAATGCAGACACAATTTCCATTCAAATTACGGCTCACTTTTGTGCTAATCCAGACAAGGGATAGTGTTACCCTAATAGTCGTTTTGTAGATTATTCATGTATGTAAACTAGCATTGAGTTGAGGAAATGATGAAACTCATTGAAAGTTTTGTAAACAGGTGCTCCACGACACGAAATGAAATTGCATAATCCTTCTTTAGACCACAGTCCCTCTATAGAGGGACTGTGTTTAGACCTTACTTTTTAGTTTTTGTTACCCATATACTTATTGCTAACAATAGACCATTTTTCATTCACTGCGAGATTCACGCGTTATGCGTGAAATCAAACGTAAAAACAGAACAAAGGTAAAAATATTTTGGGGGGCATTTTCATGCTTAATAATGTGCTGTACACATTTGATGATAGACAATTTCGATTAAGTCAGATTATTCGAAAGCCATATTCCTCTGTCGAAGATCGATGTGAGCTACGAAATAAAGAAATTAGAGTTGAAAATCAAATCGTATTTCATGCATCTCTCGAGATCTCGCAAGTTGAACGAAAAATCACCTATTGAATAGAAATGTTCTCTTTTCTACAGATGCAATAAAATATTACCATTACTAATAAGATGAGAGAAATGTTGAATGGGGAACTCGTGCAGCGATGAATAATACAGCCCACTATTCATACGAGAATTATGTGCTGGCAAAAGTGTTGTATTGCACGCAACCAACAATTAGAGTATATTTAGTGTCAGTGCGTATATGTGATCTTTGCTGAAGCTCGCAAAAAAACATTTCAAGATGTTATTGAATAATAATTGATCCATGAGATTGTCAACATAGACTTCTTGATTGCCAGCATAGTTGTGAAAAACTTTGCTACGTGGCATCTGCACACAAAATACATATACTAGCATTTTACAATAAATGTGACATTTATCTGACTTTACTCTCATCACTGTCGAGATATGCATCATATAATTAGAGAAATAGCATTTATCCCATGGTCTTTGTTACCATGGATTAATGAATATTCAGAAATATTATTGATCCAAGCCCAATCTACTTTAAACGCATATACCACATTATTAAATACAAATTCTGGAGTATTACGTTTTAGATCAGAACGAAGAGAACATGTTGAAGAGACAATCTTTGTATTCTCTGAATTGACATAAACTTATACATTTATAAGGCTCGCATTGTTTTCAGCAGTTGTGTATAACTGTCACATCCTGATGTCAGAACAAGAATTCACAACAAAAAAAGTTTGCTATCAAATTTAAATCCTCCTGCAAGGAATGGTCTTATATTTTGTCTTGTCACTGACATACTTAGCAGTTTTCATTTTTCCTTTCAGCTGACTCCATATATATATATATATATATATATATATAACAATGTGAAAACTTGAGTGTCTGCCAGATATCCTTATTTACTCAGTTAATTTTCACTACCGGTATTTTTGCATGCAGTCTGCGTTAAGCTAACCCGCAGAAAACAAGTCAATCACGAGGAGTTGTGTTCGTGCATGATTTTTCACATCTTTTTATTATTACATTTCGTGTTACGAAGTTTCCAATTCAGCCTATGATTATTGCATGCTATTGCTATTCTGGAGGGTGAATAAAAGCCATCAGAGAGCTAAGATTCAATTATGTTGCAATTTCAGCAGGGTGAATGAAAACATCGTCTCGATGTATTAATCCAAACCAGGCTTTGAATGAAGGTCCAATCAAAGTCTTTTCTATTGTAAATTATATTGTAGATTTCTTATCATTCTTAGAATTAGTAACGCAGGAAATAAAACGATTACAGACTACAATACTCCAATACTAGTAAAAATCTCTCTTTCAGATTGCAATAATGCAGGAACTCTGTCTGAAGCTTTGAAATTTGAACGAAAAACATCTAAAATGTTGACTATCAAATTCCTGTTTGATTTTTAAATTATGATAACTTCAGGGGTCATAATAATAAGAGCATACGATACCACAATTTTAATAGTTAATCTCAAAGTTAAAGTCTTTAACAGTGGCAGTACTGGGTACAGCATGCTCTCCGCAACTCTCAAAGGTAGACTACACGCTGCTATTTTTAATGATTATCGCATACACGCTCAAAAAAATATTCATATTGTTCCTTGCAATGCCAACAATCTATCTAAATATCCCACAAGCTTGCCACAACTTGTCCATACTCATACCAGCTAACTCACCCAAAAGACACACAAAAATCTGTTTTCTTTCAACATATATATAATGATATACATTAACCAGACAAACAAATAAAATTAATTATAATACCCCCATACACATACATACATATCTGTATATAACAAGTCAATAAAAAACATGTTATCAAATTTCTTAATCAGGTAGATGTTTATCCATTCCTTGCATACTTCTATAATAGCAGGTGCATGTGACTTGGTATCTCAAGAGACTTTTTAGTTTATTACAAAAACAGATTTTTGTGTCATATATCTACCTAATTCTTTGTAGGATTTGCTTTAACCCAGCACCAGCATATTTGTAATATCATAACTTTCATTATTACATATCCAATTAGGAAATGAAGATAGGATGAATAATTTAAAACAGCATCATACTAAACAAACAGGAAATTAATATTGAAAAATAACCAAAATCAGGATGACTGAGGAGACAATACTTCCTTCTTGTATGATATCCATATGCCTAAATTGGGTTTGTTTTTGGGTGTGATATTCATGCAAGGGTAGACCATATTGTGTTCTCTGTCATGAATATGATGTCTGTTTTTGGTGCAATGATGGTCAATGAGTGAATCAAAGCAAGTTGCTCTGACCCATAATTACTATGTCTGATATTGGTGCTATGGTGGTTAATGGACTATTTCAACAACAATCAGGTGACTTTCAAACTTTTGGGATTGACATATTTGGTTTATCACAATAGAAAATAAATCTTAGAAAAGGGGCTTTGAAAAAATATAGTACCGTAAAATTAGTAGCCGCCCCACCGTAAAATCTGTATTGGAAGCCGCATCCCTAATAGAAGTTGAACCCATTCTTTTTGAATAATTGAGAACCAAAAATTCATCAATTCTCATATGTGTAGATGCTCTATTAGAAGCCGCATCCCCTCTATTGCACTGTACCATTTTAATAGAAGCCGCATCCCTTCCGTTTCATTGTACCATTTTAATAGAAGCCGCGGTTTCTAATACAGATTTTACAGTAGCATGTCATACAAGTAGCTGTTTTTTTAAAATCAAATTTGAAAACCATTTATGTAAGTATACATTTATTATGTTATTATATGAGTATGATCTGTTCTTCTCTGTTGCCCTTTTTTCCGTGCTGCAATACGTTACAAAAGTCACACACTTTTGTATCCAAGCAACTGAGATTTTACAAGTTACTGTACCTAATGGTTTTCCCCAGTTTTTTGAGTGGAAATCTAAATTAAATGACAAAAAGATTGTCAAGTTTGGATTTGGGCATGTCAAGAAGAAATGAACAAGATGATTTCATACAGGAATATTATACAGCATAATATGATGAAATACATACCGGTACCATATGCCGATATGATGCGCCACTGACACAAAGATTTGCTGTGGCACAATTAGCTTGCTAATTCCCTGGCATGTCATTGAAAGCAGAAAATCGTACATTGATATAGTGATCTTGAAAAATATCTTATATAGTTTTTGAATTTGTAATTTGGTAAACGAAAAATTGTAAAAACAAGTTATCGAATTTAAGATATATAGTTTTGTTTGTCGCAATATAGTTGAAATATAACCATGTCAGGAATATGATTATGATGGTTGTTTAACATTAAAATGATTGACATTTGTATCTGATCGTCAAACAAGTACTCGTCCATATTGCTCAGGAACGGCATTAATTAAAACAAAATCACCCATACATGTATATATCTATAACATGATGTATAACAAATATATAAAATTTGAACATAATCAGTCAAAACAAGTCAGAGATATGGGTCTAGAAGCCCATTCATAAAAATAAAATGGCGCCAGTCAGCCATTTTGAATCCGATCTGAAAAATAAAATGTGCATCAGGAACCCGTAATGTCTAATGTAACGTACCAAGTTTGAACGAAATCCATCTATAAATGCCAGAAATGCTTGATATTTGATGATTTTTTAGCACAAAAATGTCACCATTCGGCCATTTTGAATACGATTGTCAAACCAATATATCTGTCTATCTATGACATGATGTATAATGAATATTTTAAATTTGAACATAATCAGTAAAAGCAAGTCAGAGATATGGCACAAGAACCACATTCATTAAAACAAAATGGCCACCAGTCGGCCATTTTGAATCTTATCTGAAAAACAAAATTATTTGCATCAAGGTCCCATAATGTCTAATGTATATACCAAGCTTGAACAAAATCCATCTGTAAACAAAAATCTGTAACAAAGAAACTTGGGATAACGACATTTTAGTCACATACAAGTTCATTTTTTTCTTGAAGACTGACCTCACAAGCTGGCTCACCTTGATTTTTGGAGACTCCATTTTGACTCCATTTATAATGAACGCAAAGTGAATGGCTGAAAAAAACAAACAATAAATTCCTGCCTACCTCTCTTAAACAGCCAATGAAATTACTGTTGATGCTAGATCCAGGCAGGTTTTTGGGTGTTGGTGCACCGCCAACATAGAATAGATTTTTGGAGGTAAATGAGC